TGCAATCGATTCAAAAATTTAAAATTATACGAATAAATGTTTTTATAAGAATTAAAAACGAATACAAACACGTGTCACACATTTGTCCCAAAAGACTGTTTCGTTTATCTCCTTTGTAGGGAACAACAAAACCGAATTACATCGTGTTTTTTGTCTTATTGTGTTCATTTGTGTACTCTCTTACAATATATTATTGCTGATTTAAAATTCTTTGACCCCCAGGACACCCTATTGAACATCAAACTCTGAAGAAGTTGAAAAGTATTTAAATTCATCAGCTTCTGAAGGAGTTATCATAGGAGAGAAAGATGAAGAAAAAATACTAGGCCTACGCTGGCTAAAGACGACTGATGAATTATCAATTGTCGTCAAAACAGATGGAACAAAAAAATGCACCACTAAAAGAAACATTTTGAGTGAAATCGCCAAATTATATGATCCAAATGGGTTCATAGCACCCATAGTGGTTAGAGCAAAAATGTTAATGCAACAAATTTGGCGGCTCAAAGATATAAACTGGGACGATAAAGTTCCAGCAGATATAAGCAAGGAATGGGCAGACATCTATGCGGATCTCCCATTACTAAAGAATTTTAAAATAAATCGTTGGTTGAACACCAACAAAAAATGCAAAACAGAAGTCCATGCCTTTTGCGATGCATGCGGAAAAGCATATGGTACATCCATTTATGTAAGAGTAGAAAATGAAATGAAAGAAATTTTCTGCTCATTATTATCTGCCAAATCAAAAGTAGCTCCGCTAAAGGACATGACAATTCCAAGGCTGGAACTGCTTGCAGCACATATACTAGTTGAACAATTAGAAGCAATTGTTGATGCATGCGGGTTTGAATATTCAAATGTAACGCTTTGGTCGGACTCAATGGTAGTGTTAAGCTGGATTAAAAAATCACCTACCGAGTTAAAAGCATTTGTGTCGCACCGAGTACAAAGAATACAAGAAAAAACAAAACAATGCAAATGGAAACATGTACGATCGGGTGACAATCCGGCTGATTTAGTTAGCAGAGGAATGAATATGCAAAAATTTCTAAAAAGCAAATTATGGTTAGAAGGCCCAAGCTGGCTAAAGCAAGCCGAAAAAGAATGGCCAATACCAATGATGATAATCTCGCCAGATGAAATAAAAGAGATAGAAAAAGAATGCAAAGCAAAAGAGCCGGTGGAAAAAATATTCAATATGACTTCGGGAGTAGACCGTACAGTCCTTTACAATAAATTCCAAAGCTGGAACAAAATATTGAATGTCACCGCCTATGCACTTAGAGCAATTCGTAAAATCAAGCCAAAGACTATATTTATAACATCCGAAGAACGAAACAATGCGATCGAATATTGGATTAAATACGAACAAAACATAGCGTTTAAAACGGAACTCAAATGCATTAAAACAGGCGATATGCTGCCACCCAAAAGTACGATTACGTCACTCAGACCATTCATAGATAATAATGGCTTGCTAAGAGTGGGCGGACGTATAGACAAAGCAAATATTGCATACGAAAAAAGGCATCAATATATCATTCCTCAAAAGTCAAGACTCTCCTTTCTGTTGTTGAATCACGCGCACGAAATGACTATGCATGGTGGTGTACAAATGATAATGCACTACACCCGGAAAAGATTTTGGATCCCAAAATTAAGATTCGAAACACGAAAATTTATCGGAACATGCACAAGATGTGTAAAGCTAGCACAGATCACAGCAGATCAAATAATAGCTGAACTGCCAGCAATAAGACTAAGACCAGCGCCGCCATTTCAGCATGTCGGCGTCGATATGGCCGGTCCATACCAAATGCGAGTATCAAATAAAATAAATGCAAATACAAGAGCTCGACAAATGCCAGATATGAAAGGCTGGATAGCAGTATTCGTTTGTCTCGTCACTCGTGCCATTCACTTAGAAGCTGTTGAAGGCATGTCATCAGATGATTTTTTCGTCGCCTACACAAAATTCACAAGCAGAAGAGGCGACCCAGAGAAGATCTACAGCGACAACGGTACAAATTTCATAGGCGCAGATAAAGAGCTGAAAAAGGCGTTGGAAATTTGGCAAAGCAGCCAAGTTCAACGATACGTGCATTTAAAAGGTACAGAATGGAAGTTTATAACTCCATCAGCTCCACATGAAGGAGGCATTTGGGAAGCTGCAGTTAAGCAAATGAAGCATCATTTAAAACGCGTCATTGGTGTACAGAAATATTCATTTCAAGGTATAACAGCTCTGCTAGCTGGCGTTGAAGCATGTCTGAACTCTCGCCCACTATGCAAACTATCAGACGATCCAGACGACCAAAAGCCACTAACACCTGCACATTTTTTAATTGGCAGACCATTAAAGCTACCGATGTACGAAAAAGCAGATTCGCCACCATATAGCTTAAAGCGGCTATATGTGCAATTGCAATTCCAAATACAAGCATTTTGGAAACAGTTCTCGAATGACTACATACAGTCACTCTCGCAATTGCCCAAATGGAAAACAGAACAAACAAATCTGAAAATCGGTCAACTGGTCGTAGTCAAAGCTGACAACATTGCACCTACATACTGGGCAATGGGAAGAATCATGCAGATTCATAAAGGTGAAGATGGTAAAGTGAGGTCAGTCTTACTAAAGACGCAAACAGGCCAAATAGAGCGGTCAATAAGAAAATTATGCGTCCTCCCAGATGACATAGAATTGTCTTATTGGAAAATGTAAATGCGTACATAGTCCAGTTAATGAGTTAAAAGCTAGCCTTTTAACGGGGGGAATGTTGTGAGTGCTATGAGCATAATGCATACTCATACACTCACACACTGTACGCAAGACATTATTATAAGTGCAAGGCACACACAAGCATACACAACAGAGCTGTGCACGCGCCACAGAGAGAGAGAGCAGAAGGGAGTTGTAGTTAGTTGTTGTTTGACATTATAAGAAGCAAGATCAATAAAGAGAATCGTACAGAATAATAACCCACGCATTTCATATTTATATATATAAGTTTATCTATTTACACCAGATAAAACATACTCGATGTATCATATTTTTGTGAATTGATGATTAAATATAGTACAAGTCGTTCGTGATTTCAACGGCCGACCATTATTTACCATTTTGTCAGAATTCTTTCCATCATGCAACAGCAAAAAAAAAATCTCGTAGTATGAGTGTTAATGGGAAACAAAGGCGTTCATCTTTTATGCGAAAAACAATATTTATTTAACTCACAATTTCTGAACAGGAAAAGAAAACAAGCAAAATACAAAATATTTTTTGAAAATGTTCAATTGCATAGGAAATGCTATTAGTGTTATTTATAATGATGAAATCGAATGGAACTGCTTCTGTTGTCACTTAGCCATGGTTTAGAGTCGACGACACCTTTGCACCTTTGATTGAATTGACTGATCTTGATGAATCAATGTGATTTGAATGTGATGCGTTTGTATGGAACTTTTGTGGTGTTCGTTTTGTTGCAAACCAACCATGGTTGATCGAGTGATACACGATAAACAATATTCGTTTACATCACAATTTCTGAACAAAAATAACAAGCAATATGCAAGATATCAGTTGTGTGTTGGACAAAATACATAGTTTAATTATTATTGAAATTTTCTTTGCGATATTTTGGTAATATGTTATTGAATGGTGTCATCAATTTCGTTATAGTGCACTTTAAGTGTTTGATATTATTGCATTTTGATGTTTGTATGATATAGTCTGCTATAGTTTATTCCGTGGATAACCACTGCATTAGCGACATGAAGAAGTAAACGGTAAAATTGTATAAGTCGTTTCGAATCAAATGTACGAACATTAATCACTTCCACCATTGCAATGGGCAATTCCAACGATCAACCATGGTACCATGGTCATTGCAGTGGTACAATTTATTAACTATGACATTTTGCAAACCTTGCAAAGAATATCATTATTGATTATTTGATTTACAATACTAACAAGTGTTGCGTTATAACAACATTCCTTCTGGTGTGTTTTGTATTTGCCTCAGTTGATATTTACCCATAAAAAAGTATTTAATTGATAAACTTGATAAAAAACATAATTGTGTTGGTATTTCGGTGAATTTAATTTGGCCCCCTTGTTATAAATTTGTATCGTAAATTCATTCAAGTTAAGAGTCAGGTTTAGTATTTGCCGTACTATCGAGCTATTTTTTCAACAGTTTTTCTTTCGGTTAATTTGATTTGCTTAAGAAATGCAAGGGATCATGCGTCGTACAAAGCCACGAATGTTTTTTTGCACACGTTTTTGCACACGTTTTAGGTGATCAGCATCGAAAAGAACAAATATAAATATTCATAAGCAACTATTGCGTTGCGAAGGGACGATGTAGAGTAAGAGAGAACGAAAATATATGAAACGCAAGATTGTCACATTGTTGCAGTGGTTGCTACTGTTGCTCAATTTTTCATTTGTTTGTGTTGGTGCATATGATTTGCAAAAATTCAAAATGTAGAGAGAGAAAGAGAATTCTATTTCTGATATTAGAATAGTTTGAATATTTGTAACCATATCTATATATTTTTTTATTGTTTCTCTTTTTTCATATGAAATAAAACTTTAATCAAAAAACTCAAAGCTTAAATAACATTTCATCCTTAATCTGATAAAAAATTTCGGTATTCAAATGACACATCAATACGGCTTCCAACATTTTTTCTGAAATCTCTCTCTATTTGAACCTCAGTTGGAGGTATTGCAAAGACCGCCATAGCTAGCTCATATAACAATGGATTTTCTTCTTTTGATGATTCCCAAAAATGTAAAACAGAGCTGTCAAACGGTTGCCAATCCGGATTCCAAGAATCCAAAGCAGCTTTAATATTCTCCAATAGGCATTGTTGCATATTATTATTGATAAAACAAAAAGTAAAAATTCCTTGTATTTTTTAGTTGGAACCATTCTCTGATCTTAGTATTGAAGAGGAAATTCAATCGAATTCGACCACACCACTAAATAAAATGGTAAACATTGTTGTAATCTCCTTAACGAAGCAAAGCAAATAAGTCATTATGTAGTCAAACGTTCCCTTGTTTTTTTTCTCAGACGATTCCCGAAATTGACGTACAAGAAACCCAATTTGATGAATTTAATTATTGGCGCTATTCGCCATATCTGATGGTACTGTTATTATTGTGGTAGTGGCAATATATTTGCGGCGAAAAATAAAGTATTTTTTTTATTTTCAGGTGCAATCATCTACGGGACTTATCATTGATATGGAGAATCCATCGAATTAGATGACATGTTAATTGTGAATGAGAAAAAGACGACAGGTGGCGCCAGTGGTGTGATTTTGTGACGAATGTTTTTTTTTTTCCATTTAACCCTCAAACGCACACGTGGGGTCTCTTAGGCCCTAAGAGTTAGTTTTTTGAAAAAATCACAAAAATATAAAAAAAAATTGGAAAATTTCGCTGAGCGTTTTCTTTTTTAATATCATATCTATGTGATAAAATCAAAAATTTCAATGTTTGGTGCATAGATGAAGTTTTGGGAAGTCTTATACAAAATACTAACGTAAAAGCACAACGGGGTCTTTTGGACCCCAAATTATTTTGTATGGGAAATGATGTATTCTGTATGGGCCAATATGAAACTCATGGAGATTTGTTGACACAACAATTTACATTTCATCAAACAACAACACAGTAAATTGTTTCGTCCGTGACGTATACTGTTCATCGCAAATCAAATGGCATTTGCCATTATAATATATATTCATACATTGTTTTTTTTTGGATAGGATAGATCCGTAAGATCTCCACAAGAGCTTGATCTAAGCGTGCATACGCCGCCGCATGATATATCCGTTCGTTTTTCTGTGTTGCTTCGACGCGCAAATCAAAGCAGGCGTGCCAATCAAAGTATGTATCATGCGGCGGCCTACGCACGCTTAGACCCAGCTCTTGCGGAGATCTTACGGATCTATCCTATCCAAAACACAATGTATGGGCATATTTCGTGAATTTGGTGAACGTTGCTGGTGTGGCAGGGTTTGCCTTGTTGCGAACGTCTAACAACATGTTTGCCAAGTATGGAGGAAGAACGGAAGCAGCGCGATCTCATCGCACTCCATATAAAGCAATGTAATTGGTTTCGATCACGCAAATGTGCTGCCACCTGGTGTCTCAGAGTTAAGCTGATATATCACACATGCTTCTTGCAAATGCAGAAGAAGAAGAAGGAAAAATGTTTACATAGGGTTGAACTTATAAATGCCAGAGAGCTACAGTGTTCAAAGTGCGATCGCCCTTCGGGAAGCAGTCTCTATATTGATCTCACATATCGAGAGGTAGTTCGGCGCAGTACACGAAGCACATTAACTGGCCAACGACTGTCGATTAGCGATATTAGTGAAAGACACGACTGTCTGATAGTCGTACATATCAATAACTACCAAGAATTTTGATAAATAATTGATTTCTTTTTCCATAAAAATCAATATTAAATTGTGATGCTGTATTGGAAAGTAAGGAATAAGCTATGTTTTAACTATAAAATGACATATTTTACTCATTGGATACCATTTTGCATAAGTTTTGTATGAAATTTCTCATGGGTCCAAAAAGACCCCACCTGTGCGCTTACGTTACTGTTTTAGCCTGTGCGGTTAAGGGTTAACAATCAACATTTTTATGTCATTGTGAAACCTCGTTTAAGGTTATTATTGTAATATCGACTGTAAAGTGCTTCATTTGGATTCGAATAAAACATATTTCAAGTTTCTATTAAAAAAATGTCTGGCAATAAAAAGAAATCAATCCAAAAACAGATATCCAATATCTCACTTCGTAGATCTAAACGAGTCATCAATAGAATAACTCCAGCAGCGTTACCACACGAAGAAAAAGTTGATAGGCAACCGCCTTTAAATAATAAAAATGTACATATATTAAGTTATTTTTATTATTCATCATCAAATAAAAATGAATTACATCCTTTTCTAGTTTGACAACAATGACGCAACTTCAATGAAAATAAAACCTTGTCGTGTAGTCATCGAGAAACTAAAATTTAACAATGAGAAAGCTGATAACGAAACGAGTGGCCAGAAAGAAAAAAACAAAAACAATATGAACAACGAATCAAGCGTCATTGATAAAGTTGGCCAATCTAAACGAAAGAGAGATAATACGAGCCAAAAAAGCGATGACGATAGTAAAATTATGCCAAGTACAAGCAACGAGAACAATGAATTCAACGACAAAGATACTAATGTAACCAAACATTTTTGAAGAAAATATAAATTTCCATTTACATCTCTCTCCTTTGTTAGTGTATCTACAACGAATCGAACGAAAATGATCAAATCGGTGTCCCACTTCGTAGATCCAAACGAAAAAAAATAGGAAAGAACGGACAACAAACGATGACAACCAACAATAGATCCAAGAAGAAAGCCACGAGAAAGGTATCTGTTGCATTGACTCTCAAAGAGAAAATAATGAACGAATCACCGAAAAATGAATTTATGACGAATGAAATTGTACTAGCCACTGTCCCAGGCTATGCTCCATGGCCGGCTCGAATTATAAATATCAATAACCATACTATTTTTGTCGAGTTTTTCGGAACTGGACAAATGTAAGTAAACAATAACTTGAAATATTGTGAGTTTTCATTTAATAAAACGTGTTTTTTTTACAGAAACCCTGTTCGATCCGGTGCGATTAGTCGTTTTGATATTACTAAAGCTATACCGTTACTAGAAAGGAAAGGTTACACCAAGGCCATCAGAGAGTTAGAAATGGTTTTAAGAATTCCTTCCACAGTTTCATTGTACCAATAAACTGTTTGAATGATTCGTTGTTTAAGTTTTTACCCCAATGAATAACAATAAAGTCAAACAAAAATAAATAAATTTTGAGAAAGTGTACTATTTTTTATTTTGATTTGTACTTCATTGTGGATGTTTTACAGAAAATTCAACTAAATGTTCATTGTTTCAGGGATTTCAACTGAATGTTCATTGTTTTCTCTTGGCTATTTTTTTAATGTTCAATTTGGGTATTTTATCCATACACATCATGTCTTTCAATGACTCTATAATTCGATTTTCATCTTCTAAACGCATGAATGGTATTGTGTTGAGTAGGAGTGTAATGCTCCCTTTCCCAAATTTGAATTCTCGAATTAAATCGACTTCTTCATTTTTTGAACCTTGATAAGCTTTTCTGGCAGTTTCGACGTCATCATTATCAAGGGGCTTTAAATAATTTTCCCATTGTGCTGCAATCGTTATTGGTAAATAGAATATCCAAGCCGTCATCGTATGATTTTTTTTTCTCAGAATCGGATAAAATCGAATAAGCATTATGAATAATATTGAATTTTGCTGCAGCTTGTTCCCTTTCATCTTCGGTTACACGATCCGGATGATATATGAGAGCCAATCTATAATAGCTCTTCTTAACTAGAATATCAATAATATTTTATTCATTGTGTGTCTGTATTAAGTATTACAAGCTTTATAAATTAAATTACCATCGTTTATTTGAACATCTCTTTCAAGTTGTAAGATTTCATATAGATCTCTCGTGCCAAAAAGTGTATGTGCTGTCATTTTAACTATATATTTAAATGTAATAATAAAATAAAATGTCTTACATACGTAAGATGAACTTTTCCGCACTGTGATCCACAAAATTCATTTATAACTTATCTTTTACTTGAATTTGAACTCACGAAAAACTGAATCTGACATTAGTTTTGCGATACACATAATTTTTGACACACTTTTTATATAAAAATTACTTAAAATGGGAATTTTGGAATGGAATCAATCCTTGCATGACGACGTGAAACTTGACACAGGGTATTTTTTCACAAAAAGCCAACATTCTGGAAGTTTGAAAATACAATTTAGGGGTACTTCCCATACAAAATTTTCGTTTTTGGGTGAAAAATCCAAAATTTTGTTCGGAAGGTACCCCTAATATGTATTGAAATGTCTTCAAACTCTCGGAATATTATTTTTGTGTGATAAAAATAACCTGCGCAAAGTTTCAGGTCATTACGATATCATACAGGCGTGGCTTCCATACAAAAATCCAATTTTTTTGAAATATTTGTATGAAAGGTGTGTCGAAATATATTTGTATCGCAAAACTAATGTCATATTCGGTTTTCTCGTACCCAAAAACCCCCCAATACATATTTTTGGATGTTTAAGAATACATTAAATATCACTTTTGGGGGGAAAATTGAATTTTTCCCATGGATGGCCATGGGCATCACACCAGACATGACACGTTACTCTATCAACCAAAGTCGCTCAAAATCTAATGGTTTCTATTCCTCGGCACCCCCAATCATCCTGTGAAGTCAGATTTTGAATTACTTTTCTTGTTTGAAAGTTATCGTGTTAACAAATTTTTGCGTACAGGGTACAGCGTACAGCGTACAGCGTACAGCGTACAGCGTACAGCGTACAGCGTACAGGGTACCACGCACATACATTCGGACATCGAAAAAACGCTAGATTCGTGTTCCCTGGGTCCTAAAACACCCAGAAAACATGATTTTTGAGGGTGTTAATTTTTCGACCGATTCCAATACTTTACCTTACACACTAGGTGTGTGCGGAAAAGTAATATGATAAAGTTTTTATTTGGAGGCAATACAACGCTTTTCTATAAATGTAATAATCTTTGGACAATGACTTGGATGTGTTCAGGTGACTTTGACGTTATAGACATCATTGTTTTTGTGACAAAAATCAATTAGTTAATATGTCAATTTAAGCACCAACACCAATATGTCATTTGGTCAAATGTCAAGGTTGTGAATGTTTAATGTTACAGTAACTCTGAGTTGCATTGTTTGATACCATTCAAATTAAGTTTTACAAAAAAAATGTCAAGCAAGCGAAAACGAAACCACAATGAAATTTGTGATGATCATCAACTCCGTAGATCAAAATGGAACAAACCTTCCCGAATTCCGCCCGAAAATGAACTGATGCACAAAAAAAATAAGCGATGCACTCACAATGACGACAAAGAATCCAATATTAACACCCAAACTGAAGCAAACGACGAGCCCACTCAAGAGGTATATATTGATGAATCAAAAGTGATTTATAAAATAAATCGATTATTTTTTTCTTGTGTTTTTTGCGCTTTTTAGTTTGGCGACAATGACAAAACATCAAAAGAATTGAACGATGCAAGCACTAGCGATTTAAATGATTTAGATGGTGTTATTTTCAGAGAAACATCACACATTGTCACGGACTACCGTATGTCCGATATATCATTTGAAAACAACGACAGTGAAGCTAATGATAACGTTATTTTGACTTTTGCTAAGCCTGCCAAGAGTAGCGATGTTGGTGGTCCCAACCTCAATGAAAAAAAAACGCGAAACAAATTTTCCTGGACAGAATACAAAATTGGAAATGATCTAGATGAGGCTGTTGATGCTATTTCCGAAGAAGGATTTAAACTCTACGATAACCATGAACTAAAATGTGGCCAAAAGTTTTACTTTAGATGTGCATCAATTCCAAAAAGCCGTAAAACTTGGTGTGATAAACGATACATAGAGTATCTACCAGCTAATAGTACTGACATCATAACACTGTATAATAAACTTGAACACAATCACAATGAATTACTGAAAGGAGACAAGCATAAGATCTCTCCAGGAATGACCGAGTTCATTCATGAGCTATACAACAACGAAGCAACATCGCCAAAGTCTGTAATAGCACACATAAAAATGGCACGTGATAAGTACAAACTTTTTCAAGATGAGCCGGATCCTAACGTTCGTCAAGTCGAATATATAATAAAGAAATTTATTAAGCAGCTTGTAAAACCAATGATAAATATAGGCGATTTGATGGAATGGTGCGAACAAAATTCCGCATTTCCAGCGGACCATAATAAAGCATTTGTGCTTGGACATGAGTCATGCTCAATATCAGAGGATATGAGCTTTCGTTTCACAATGTCTTCGCCACTTTTGCTTAAAAAATTAGCATCAAGAGAAACAATTTGTATTGATGCAACATACAAATTAAATTGGATGGGGTTTCCGTTAATAATTATGGGCACAGTTGACCGAATGAAGCGATTCCATCCATTAATTTATGCATGCTCTTCACATGAACGAAGTGAAGATTATGCTTTTGTATTCCGTACTGTTAAAGAGGCCATAAAAATTCAACTGAGGAAAATATTTGAACCAATGACATTGATAGCAGATGGCGCCAATGCCATTCGAAATGGTTTTTATTCGATTTTTCCCAATGCCAGATGTTATGTGATTTGCACACGTGCTTCGAAATATCAGAAAGCGACAATTCAACAACAAAACCAATAAATCATTAATAATAGACGACTTAAAAAAAATGCAATTGGCTCCAAGTAAAAAGTTTTTTGATTGTATGGCCGAAATGTTTTGCAAAAAATGAAACTCTTTAGAGGGGTATTTTGTTAAATATTTCAAAACACAATGGTTGGGAGTTCATTCCAATTGGTTCGAAGGCGCAATTTTCCAATGGTACACGGATTATTGCAGGAGAGCCTTGCATAAGCAAAGAAACGTGGACGAAAGCAGCAACAATGCATTTACAAAGATTCAAATCGTTCAGAGCAAAAAAAACAAGCGATGACCAAACAACATATGTACGGCTGGTAATAAAAGCGACTTTAAGCAGAAAAAATCTTAAAAATGTCTCATAATTTGTACAGGATTTACATAAGATGGAGACGGTTTAAAAAAACTTAAAGTCACTTTTATTCTCAGCCGATCATATGTCGTTCCATCATCAAAATGTGAACCTAACAATGCCAATGAAATCTTTTTCAAAAGTATAGCTAGCCGCGAATGGGAGTCTTTCGATGAATACATAAATTTTGGCTTTCAGCAGTTTTGGATAGTGAATTTAGCGATGAAAAATTGGAACGTTTCATCGAGTTGTACATGTCCATTTTTTTTAAAGCACTATATGTGCAAGCATATTATCGCGCTTGCAGTAAAGGATAATACGATTGAATTTCCTGAAATGGCAAATCCAGTATTGCTATCAAAAAAGCGTGAAGCTGGAAGAATACCCAATGCAATTGGAGCATTGGAACATCAGAACAATGAAAGTTCGAAGCAAAAGAAGAAGAGCAATAAAAAATAAACAATGACAAAATCGCTGAATTTAACAATGGATTTTTTTCTGAGTGTTTTACTTTTTATTGAATACATTCGCAATATTTTACACAGTGAATTTCACACACAATAATGACAAAATAAATTATTCGAGCAAAATATGTGACGACTTTGAATCTTTTTAAATTTTTTTTGGATTTTTATGACGAATTTCGTGGTTTTTTATCCCGTTTTTCGTGTTTTTTATTCCGTTTTTCGGATTTCTTATGACGATTTTTGGGATCAGTTTATGACAGTTTTCGGGATATTTTATTACGTTTTTTGGGTTTTTTTATACCGAATTTCGTGGTTTTTTATACCGAATTTCGGGTTTTTTATCCCGTTTTTCGTGTTTTTTATTCCGTTTTTCGGGTTTTTTATTCCATTTTTCGTTTAATCCGTACAAACAAAAATTAGTAGCCCAGTACAAAGAAACAGTTTTAAAAACTCAAAATTATTTTTTGTCATCAAACGATATGAATAAAGAAATATAGTAAAATTATATTATATATTGAATATTTTTATTTTTGGTTTTATTTGTAAACATTGTTTTTTAGGAAATATATTCATTTTATATGAAGAAGTTTTAATGGTATTTGGTGTCGCATTTATTTATATCATTTTAAAATCAGTTTACTTTTTTATTCTTCACTGACCTTTGAAATGAACAATTTTTTTTAACTTTTTACGCAAAAAGGTATCATGATGGGCAAGTGTTTCACACTTATTTATGTAGTCTTGTTTTTTCTTTGCGTACATTACAATAATTAATTTGATCAATTGTATTTTATGTTCAGGTTCTGGATGTGTTTCAAAGTCAGACAAGGGAAATAAATCATCCATCAACAAAGTTGTAAAAATATCATTTTGTATAGCATTGAATTTTCCCGACTTGTGCTTGAATTTTTCCATCGATCGTTCAGTTGCTTCACATATTTCCACAGTACTTTTGGCAGGTGCCCATAATTTAGACGACTGCATTTTGATTTTAACAAATTCATCATATATCGATTCATTTTCGGAAAATGTTAATAAACATTTCTCACACTTAATGGGTGCATACCATCGACCTTCAACAATGCACTTTTCTATGATAGAAGCAACGTAGCATACGACGTGTTGTTTAATTTCGCTCAAAAACTCATTGTTGTTGTCCATTAACAGGCCTTCATTAATTTCCCATTCATCAATGTGGTTGACTGTTTGTTCACTTTCCTCTTCTATTTCACTGCTTTCCTCATTTGAATCTCGAATATTTTTTTGTTTTCGCGAAGAAGCATTGAGCACCGTTAAATACTGAAAATTATTATTCTGACAATTTGCAGCGTCTGATGCTCTTACATGGTTATGACCCAATAATTTTCTCCAAGCAGATTCCAGTTGCCGAGCTGAGGGATTGTCGTTACAACCAAACATTTGACGAACGCCTTGAATTAGAAGTATAAAACTGATTAGTCCACAATGCCAAACTTATGACGATACTTCGATGATACACAGTGTATTTTATATACTTACATGAAAAAAAGAGTTCCAAGTGATCTTGAGAAAAATTGTATGTAGCGACATTTTCTAATATACCATCCTGAACATTTGTCTCATAAAATGAACGAAAATTGATCATGGTGGTGATAAAATTAAGAAACGCAGTTTTTGATTTGGTTTTGATGATACTTTTTCCTTGAGGCGATAACTTCAACTGTTTGATATAAGAGATTGAATTATCAAAGTATCTGAAATACTGTACCTTTGTCTCCTCAGAAATGACCCGTTTAAAACCAATGGCATCCTTGTCTCTTTTTGAATTAAGAATATCAAAAATATTATTGAAACGTCGAATGAACTCTACTGTGGCTTCACTTTCTTGGAATTTTTCAAATCCTTTTATCCGTAAGAATTCAATGGCATCAGCGACGCTATTACTGAGTGTCTGAGCAGCTACACATACATTCATTTTTACTTTGCTCCATTGAATGTGTACCTTAGTAATCTTATTACCAAGATTTACATTATTTTCACGTTGAAAAATTTCGAGCTCTTCGATAAAACGCCATTCAATTTTGCGATTGTCTTTATCATACAGTATGGCTTTAAATGCCAGCCGATTGCGTACAGTTTTTAAGAAATGACATGCGTCAGGGAAGAGAAAAATTTTATCATTGCTGTGTGGATTCAAAATGTACGGTTTGTTATTAAGGAAATCTGCACCAAGCTCTTTTGCCATTGATCTATTTGTGGACAACCCATCATAGGTTAAACCAACAATTTTTACACCAGTTTTATCAATCATCAATAATATGTGTGCCAATAGCGCGGCCTTTTCACTAGCATTCAAGCCCGCAATTAAAAAATACGCAACAGGCGTTTTAAATGCTTCCTTGATTCCTGGAACCATGAAAACGAGTTCTTCTTTTGCAAAATTTTTTTCATCATCTTCAGTTCCATAGTTAACCATTCCTACTTTTCTATCTGAGTGTTGATCATAATCCATTTGCTGTCGTATTGCAACTTCATCGAAAATGAGATATGCCAAAATTTCTTCAACATTTTGATTTGCTTCAAGAGCCTTACATTTCAATGCTGTAAAGGCTTCGCTACTAAATCCGGGCTTACCGTCTATCGTGCTATACCACTTGCGTATTGTAGATATAGATGGTAAATTATTATTGAAAACGGAGCGCACGTATCGATAGCCCCTTGGACTATAAAAATGTAAAGTGAGTGCAAATGTTCGAATTCTTGCACTATACTTCTTTTGCGGCCTTCCAGATTCTAAACAATTTAAAATGTCTTGATCGAAACTCTACAACGAATAAAATTTTATTTATTAAAATCAAAAATAAAATGTTTGGACAAAAATAAACATTGAAACATATACACGTCATATAGTTAGTTACAATTTATATAAAAATATAGAGTTAGATGCAGTATGCTACAATTATTACAAAAAAAATGGTATTCACACATTTATGCAAAACATTGCGAAATATTCCTTATTATTCCACCATAAAATAACATTGAAGGCATTTTTCATAAATTAATTACGTTTAGCACCGCTTGGCCTTCCTCGGATACCCATTTTTTCTCTTTAATTTCCTTAAGTATTTCTTCTAATGATTTTTTGGCCATCTTTGCACGTTTTTCGGACGATTTGTCGACGCATCGTTTTTGCAACTTTGAAACAAGACCTCTTAATTTTTGAAGCTCCATGTCAAGCTGCATACATTTCGTGCAAATGTCTTTTGCATTCTGGTCAGATTCGCTTGCTATGCATTCGGCATCGTACTCAATAATTTGATCTAAGTCGGACTGCAACCATTGAACAGATGGAACTGCGGCGTATGAGATCGAACTGGATGCTTCCTTTTGATTTTCAAAAAATAATGAATCTTCTTCCAAATACTCGAGTTCACTGCAAAAGCTATTGAAATAATTTTGAAATTTAAAGTTAAATAAATTGTATGACAAAAACTTACATCGATGGAAAAATCGTTGGCAAAGCATTCGGCTCTAGTGTCGTTCGCGATCCAATTTTCTTTATCTCGTCCTTTTTAAAATGCAGTTTGCAAACCAAAAATTTCGATACATAGTAATCAAAGTTTTGAAATGTTTCAATAGAGGCGATCCATGCCTTTTTTTGTCTGCAACATTTGGAACGCTACAATATCAACACAGTAATAACATGTACCAAATTATTTGTGATTTCAATATTTAATGAACTTACCAAAAAAGTGAACCTTCCGATTTGCATCCAAGTATTTTGCACTTATGTTTGGCGTATTTCACCATATTTCGATCAATCAATTTTTTTATAAAAATGAAATTAAAACAAAGAACTTGGTTTGCTTGTTATGCTTTTTCGATAAATATAAATAAACAAATTATCGTTGAAGTTTAAATAAATGTCATGATGTGTCAGAACACTGTACAAGGCGCCCCCTGGTAACTCGACTGTGTAGTATTGTCAACTCACATTGGATCGTGTTTGAAGTTAATGTTACTGCCCCAATATTCGATCACTCTCTTGGGCAAAGTTGTAGCCCATATGAGACGAAAAAAAAAATGTCACCACAGTGGGGGTCAATGACCCCTCATTCAGGGGTTAAAATGACCTTAAAGGATAATTTAAAACATACCAAGTGGATTTTGACCCTCTAAAGGTCAAATGGGGTCATATGTTAGTTCCCATGAAAGTTGCGCCTATCCATGTGCTATCCACTGACATATTGCTTTAAAGCCCCAATTCGGAGAGCACGGGTCGGAATTTTCAAAAAAAAAAAAATAAAAATCCTCAAAATGGGGTCAAATGCCCCCGACCCCAAAATTGACCCCATTTTTGTATTCCTCGCAAAAAATTACCCTTAGGACACTTTACCCTCGACCACCCTCCGATCAACCCTTGGACCCCCAAATTTGGTCGAAAAGTGAAAAAAATCGATTTTTCAAGTTTCAACCACGATTTTGACCACTTGAAGGTCAAATGGGACAATATAATTTTTCCCATGAAATGTTCGTCTATCCATGTGCTATCCACTGACATATTGCTTTGACCATCCATGATGCCCCAATTCGAAGAGCACGGGTCCAAAATTCGAAAAAAGTACTGAATTTTGAAGGAAATCCCCAAAATGGGGTCCAAATTCCAGGTGCGTGTCATCAGCGCCACCCTGGAATTGTGCTGGCAGACCTAT